TTTTACTAATTGCCACAGCACAAGATGGTGCCTTCCATCAGTATCCTCTTGCATGGGCCATTGTAGACTCTGAAAATAACGACTCCTACTCATATTTCTTCGGTCATCTTCGTCAAGTAATCGAAGATCATCAACATTTGGTCTTCATTTCAGATAGGCATCCAAGCATCGAGAATGGTTTGAGAAAACATTATACTCTAGCAGACTACGGGTACTGTCGATATCATATTCACTGTAATTTAAAAGGTCCATTAGGAAAGAAGAACAAAGATGGTTTAAAGCTATTTGATCGTCTTTCAAATGCCTACACGGTGAAGACTTTTCATAGGATTTTTAAGAAATTTGAGGACAGGTATCCCAATGGGGCTAGGTATATAAGTACTATTCCGAAGGAAAGGTGGGCAAGGGCTTTTTTCAAGAGAAACCGTTACAATATAATGACGACAAATGGGACAGAGAGCGTTAACAGCGTCCTACGACACACCAGAACACTACCCATCCTAGCATTGTTGAACGGAATGCTATCGAAGACTGCCGAGTGGCGGGGGAAATGGCATACAGAGTAGAATGCTCTACAACACTCTAGCAGTCCGCTCACTCCAGATGCGGAAGCCTACCTTCGTAGGCGGTACCCTATTGCTTTAAAGCTTTCGAGTATGCATTTGGGCAATCATGAATTTCAAGTTCAAGGAGTTACATCGGATCATGTTGTGAACTTGCACCAAAAGACTTGCACCTGCCGCGTATTTGACCTGGACAAAATTCCTTGCGTTCATGCATTAGCATGCTTGAAGGATGATATCACGAGGGAACTAGAGATAAATGCGTACAACCTTTGTGATATTAGGTACACCAGAGGTCACGTCCACCTAGCATACGGAGAAACAATATATCCAGTACCGGCATATGAGGAGTGGTCTGCCAATGGTCTATCTCTCCAGCATGTAAAACCACCAAAAACGAAAAAGAAAAGGGGGAGGCCACAAACAAAGCGCATTCCATCAGCGGGAGAGAAGAGAAGGACTTCCGATTTGACTTGCTCTGGATGTCATAACAAGGGACATACAATACGGACTTGTAGCAAAAATACACAAGAACAACCAGAAGCAGAAGAAAACACGCAAGAAACAGATTCTGATATCGAACCCGAAACATAGTCTGATAATGGAGAAGAAATTTAGTCGACCTTAAAATCGACCAGTCAACATTGGTCGACCGGAATAAGGGGTCGATCAAGAGGGAATTATTTTTTACTATTGTTCATATATTCTTTTCATCTCCACATCTTTTGACTTTCTCACTAAAATAATATATGACGTTTTTCATATATGTTCAATAAAATAATTAATAAATTTTTATTTTAAATCTATTCATCATTTTCTTTTTTACTAATTTTAAACATCAAAGAAGAGTTCAAAACTAGCATTGAAAAGAAAATATAATGCATCTACATTAAAATGAAAAAAAAACAAATAATACATCTATAACAAAATTAAAAATAAATACACTTCTTTGTCGACTTTCTGGATGCAATATTTAAAATCGACCAGTCAACATTGGTCGACCGGAATAAGGGGTCGATCAAGAGGGAATTATTTTCTACTATTGTTCATATATTCTTTTCATCTCCACATCTTTTGACTTTCTCACTAAAATAATATATGACGTTTTTCATATATGTTCAATAAAATAATTAATAAATTTTTATTTTAAATCTATTCAACATTTTCTTTTTTACTAATTTATAACATCAAAAAGAAAATATAATGCATCTACATATTGTAGTGACGGCACGTGTGATGACAAATACATATAGATTCATAGACACATGTCACGCGTGCATGTTAAACTTTATTAAATCTTCATTATTCTACTATTGTTCATATTCCGTATATTCTTTCTTTCCAGATTTGATGTGACCGATAAGGGTATATCAACAGATAAAGTATGTGTATTAATGACGATGGCCCACACAGCTTAAATACTGCTTCATTAAAATATTTCAATAGTTGAAATATCAGAAACAGACAATTATAACAATCGGGTCTACTTCCTAATCGACATTTTTGGTCGACTAAAGGTTTAGTCGATCAATATGAAAACGAAATGTCGACCCGAATAACACGCAATCAACTGTAATTTATTAAGGTCGATGGAAATTTTATAAAGGTCGACCTGACCCTTCCAAAACAATCCATTTTGGTTTATGTATTTGAAAACAGGTCTACGATTGAGAAAACATCAATACAATTAAGAAAATATGACTGTAGCGTTTATACTAGAAATGATTATAATCATACTAAAAATATATACAAAACAACCACCAAATATAAAAGCTTTAAATAGTTTTAATAATTGGTAAGCCTCGGTAGCATACGATGGCGATAAGCATAAACAATGATTGTATTTTCTGCAATGAAGGTAAGCACAACCTTATCCCCAAGCCTTAACCCGTTGTCCTCCACAAAATTATGCCATCCTTTGGAGAGCCTGCAACCACTCTCCTTGACAGAGAGGGTGACTTCATTGGGATACATTGTCGGGCCATAAATCTTAATTTTGATTGTCCCATCAGAAATTCCGTTGTCAGCGCAAAAAGACCTTGGCAACTCCTGAAACGAGACATTAAAAAACCTTAAATGATATTTCAATCGATTGGTATGTATTTAAAAAGAAAAAACATTCAAACAAACCAAATATGACTCCTTGGGGATAACATTGTGCGCCTCCAGTTTATGAACAAATGATATTTCAATATCAACATCATCCTCTCCTCCAAAACAATAAAAAAATGAATCATTCAACAAAATATCTTTCATTTATGACTAAACTCGTGACTTATTCATATACATATATTCTTACCTGAATCATAATCTGGAAACATAATGGGGTAGGTCACCCAATTGTATTTGCCAAAAACTGTAACCAATAAACAAAACTCCCCATTTTTTTTAAAATGTAGAACAAATTTTGGTTGCAGTTGGTGTGCAACGGCAAAATCCTTCCATCCAGATTTGAATCGGTGTTTCCCATCATCACCAATGTAATGTTCGACCGGAAAGTATCCAATTCGAGTCAAGAGAAGCACTATCTTCTCGGAGGGGCTCAATACATCAGAGGGAATCACCTGTTCGATGATTTATTTTTTCAAAAACCCTTCTTTATAATATAAAGCGGATACAAATTATGTGATGCGTAGTTCCTAGATCTTACCAGGGTTTCAATGCAATCGGTTGACTCCCGCGGCATGCAGCAAGACCACTCTTGCGGAGAATTCCTTACACGACGCGAGGAAGAAGCCATCTCAACCTGTGTCTAACTTACACGTGTGCACACTGCACAGAAACGAGAAAATATGGTTTTAGAGAGATAGAGTGATAGAGTTATTTTATCCGGCGGTGACCAAAGGTCGTGACCAGTCATCGAGAATTCAAAGGTCATAACCAGTCATCGCGAAGTCACACCAATTGAATATTGAAAAGTACCGAGTAATAAATCTTTGTACACGGGAATAATAATTTCCAAAATTCTTTGGAACTAAAATAACTACCAATAACTCAAAAGTAGGGTCCACAATTAAACTTTTTTTTTGAAGTGGGTCCACAAATAAACTAAACTAACTATAATAGTCACAAACAGTATTGACACTAGAGCCATTCAATATCTAAAAAAAGTAGGGTCCACAACTAAACTAAACTAACCGAAATAGTCACAATCAGTATTGACAAAACCAGCCATTCAATGACTAAAAAGGTATGGCCCATGACCGAAGAAGACGTGTCTGCAACTAAACTAACCGCAATAGCCACAACCAGTCAGACACCCGAGCCACTAGATGACCTCTGACTACCCATGACCGAATAAGAGGTGTCCGCAACTAAACTAACCGCAATAGCCACAACCAGTCAGACACCCGAGCCTCTCGATGACAACTGACTACCCCATGACCGAAGGAGACGTGTCCGCAATTAAACTAACTGCAATAGCCACAACCGGNTAGATGACCTCTGACTACCCATGACCGAATAAGAGGTGTCCGTAACTAAACTAACCTCAATAGCCACAACCAGTTAGACACCTGAGCCACTAGATGACCTCTGACTACCCATGACCGAATAAGAGGTGTCCGTAACTAAACTAACCGCAATAGCCACAACCAGTCAGACACCCGAGCCACACGATGACCACAGACTACCCTATGACCGAAGGAGACGTGTCCGCAACTACACTAACCGCATTTCGATGACTACTTCGGAGTATTATATTTTTTCATTTATAATATCAATTACATCCGCGAATAAAACTATAACGCAATCAATATCATTCATTGATTGTGATTAATAAAAAATATATATCTATTTAGTTATATTCCATACATAATACAAATAATTTTATTTTAATTTGTCATTTTAATATTTTAAAGATTTATATTTTTTATCTTTTCGGTATTTAAGTACATATTAAAAAAATTTGTTAAAAAATTATAGATTTAGAGGATAACTCATGTCCCTTTTATTGTATTTATGGTAATTTAAACTGTAATTATGTTATTTATTCATGCTTCCATGGTTTTATTTAGGACTAAGTTGGGAGTAATTCTTACCGTAGAATTGTAGATGACTGGCCGGGCGGGGTGTTGAAAATCTTTGGCCGCCGAAATCAAAAAATTGGGCGGGATGTTAGAAATTCTTTTTAATTCTCAGCGGTATCTCAAAAAATTGGGCGGGATGTTAGAAATTCTTTTTAAGAACTTTGGCCGCACTTGAAAGCCTTAAAACATCTGCTATTAATCTTCTCTCTAGTCCGAGTCATAAATTTTACAGGAAAGGGAACGATGGGACCAACTCCTGAAACTCCTCAAAATATGCCACAAACTTTTGTTACTCTGCTGCGGGAAGATGAGTTCTTCAGCACCCGACTCGTAAGTGTCTTTCAACAAAATCTTATTGCGTAGTTTGATATTTAACTATTTTTCTATTTCGTCCGGATTAGATTTTTAACTATTGCTCTATATTTTCACATTACTCTCCCTAGCGCATCCCCGAATTGGTTGCAGACAGCATGGAGAACTTGAACGAGTTGATTATAGTGACAGGTTCGGACCCTACTATGATGAGAGTCACCATCTCGCGCACATCTTCTGCTACTTTTTTGAGAGACGGTTGGACGGCCATCGTAGATTTATACCAGTTAATGTCTGAATTTATCCTGCATTTCCAATACCATATCGGTAACATGTATTTCCTCACGGTGTTTGGTCCCCACGGTGCACAGATCCTTCCTGGCTTTTATTCAAGCGCAGAAGAAGACAGTGAAAATTCAATGTAATTTGTATCGATTAAACTTGTAATGTAACACCCCAACCCGCGTAACCCGAACCAACGGGTTAGCGAACCAGGTTGTTACTAAATTGGTATTCGCATGCATAATGTTTTAAAAAATAACCAACTGAATAAATTATAAATTCATCCGTGAGAGTTTAAAACTAAACCAAAATTTATCGGAGTAATAAAACAAGTCCAAAAGTCGCGGAAGCATAATAAAACTAAAGTAACGTCCAACAATCCATATAATCAAATAAAATAATGTAGTTTAATTACTAAAGTAAACAAGAGCCATCCACACCACCACCACTTCACTGCCCTCCGGGTTGCCGATCAAATTCTGTGTTCCTACCTGCGTGCAGTCAAACAACAACGATTACACGCTCAGCGAAACGCTGAGTGAAAATATACCTAAGCCAGCATTAACTCACAGAATAGCACCACATTAACATACAATCAACAACAACATGTGATCACGGAGAAAATAGCTTAAATAAACATATTTATATTAACACCTTCCATTTGAACATCATGTCCTAATTTTATTCCACATCAACTACTTTGAGTCATGGCACCCCAAGCGATGCTATAAAAGAGCCAGCTCAGAAACCCAAAGGAGATTCACTTTGGGCGGGTTGAAGCCCCTGTCCCTACGATGCCAGGACATGTCGCGGACTTCCGTACGTACGTTTTTAACCCAAGACCACCGGGGGTGCGACGACGCCCCGCAATGGCCAATTTCCTAACCATATCCTATTGGTGATTCAATCAGTCAATCCAATTCAGGTCCGCCTAATTATACTAGGTGGCCTATTTCTCTTACATTATTCATAATCCACAATATTCACCAATAAGATTAATTTAATTTATCATTGGTTCACAAATTCACAACAAATCACGTAGCGGCCTATCCGGTCCGAGAATCAACGATTACCGTCATGCATAATCAACAAACCCAAATTAGAATTAATCCAACTTACCTGCGCGGAATCGAGCCCAAGGAATCGATCCTCA